ATCGGCAACGCCGGGCCAGTCAGAGAGGATCTGGGGAAGATGACCCCGACTCAGGTGGCCGAGAGGATCGGCCACGACTTGGCCGAGGTAAGCGTTCTCCAACTGATTTTATTTTTTATGCAAGTGTCTCTGAGCGGGCTGACTTTGAGCGTCTTTTGCATTGCAGATTTCCCGAGCGGCCCAGCTTCTGCAAGGTCGGGCCATGCTGGCCGAAGAAGCCGACCGCCATAAGAGGGCCGCCGCTCGACGCCTTCAAGAGGTCCGGGACATCCAGGCCGAGCTGGAGATGGTCCAGAAGGACCTTAAGAAGAGCGAAGAAGACCGGGTCTTGGCCGAAAAGGTCGCCCAACGGGCGATCGGGGAAGCTAAAGAACTGAAGACCCGGTTGGAGAACCCGGACGAGCTGGCCCAGTCGGCTTTCAAGGACAACGAGACGGGCTTGGCATTCCTCCCGGCGGACGAAGATCGGGGAAGACCTGATCCTATCCTTCGGTCGGTGGGCCTTCAAAGCCGGGCAGAGGAAAATGCTCGAGAGGGCCCAAAAACGACTAGGGCAAGCTCTCGAAGGAGATGACCTCCAGCTTGTTCTGTCTGCCCTTCCTCCCGACCTTGCTGATCTCGGTCCCTCTCCGTTCGCCCCGAAAGATAAAGCGGCCGACCCGAGCGGGCCTACGGCGGCTGTTCCGAGCGAGGCGGAAGCTTCCAAGAAAGGGGAGGCCACGGGAGCGAAGAAGTAAAAATAGGTTCTACTTCTTTTTTGTAAAGTGACGCTGATCGGGAGCCCGGTCCCGAGTTTGTACCGGGCACTCTCTTTGAAATTTTAATGAAATCCGTTTTTTTTTTTTTTTTGTCTAAGTTGTGTTGTCTGTTTTTTATTCGTACTTTATCTTCATTTAAACATACGCCGAAGCCTTAACGCTCGACCTCATAGCCTTTTGGCCCGGTCATGCGTTACTCGACTCATTCGACACCCGACCTTATGGACTTAAGGCCCGGTCGTGCGTCCACAGTTTCGACGTCAAACTGGCCTGCCCGATCAGGTTTACCCGATCTCTAGGCCTTGTCGAAATTTTGAAAACGGGTAAGCCTCCACGGTCGGGGTTTTCCCGAGCGACGGGTCTAATTCACTCCATCCCAGCCCCCACACTATTGTGCCCTCGAGGCACGAGAGGGTGCGATAGTGGAGAGAAGTTGGACGGATCGGGTAATTATGCTGGGAGCTCTGGCTTTCCCGATCGGTGGCGTGACCCAAGTGTCCGCCGAAGAGGAGCGCTTTTGACCGTTCGATTGACTCGTCCGGTCGATGTGACTTGGTAATGAAATGTCCTGCATGCAATGAAGGTAAAGAAAATAACCGACCGGGCCGCCGTATGTAAACGGTCGAGCAATTACCGATCGTATATACATTGAACCTTCCCGCTCGCAGGCGGTTGAACAAATATTTACAATAATGAATGTAATATACAAACGACGATCGGGACTGACTCGCAGGTCGAGCCCCCACTTCGTCCAAAAATTACACACAAAAAAAAATGCTAATGCCTAAACATAACGAGGTGCTCGGAATTCCAAGTCCCCTCGATTACCCGACCGGTTGTCGTCTCTAGTCGGTATGTTCCCGGTCGTACGACTGCGCTGATGACGTACGGCCCTTCCCAATTTTGAGCTAGCTTTCCACCTTCCAAAGGTCGACTGGCCTCCCTTCGTCGTAAAACGTAGTCTCCTACCTGAAAATAACGTGGGTTGACTCGGACATCCTTTGAGCTCTTGACTCGTTTCTGATACTCGGCCATACGCCGAGCGGCTAGCTCTCTCTTCTCCTCGACCCCATCGAGATCCACGACCATCGCGTGTTCGTTCTCCTCCGCGTTGTAAGTTCTTTCTCGATCGGTCGGGATCCAAGCCTCGATCGGGAGTCGGGCTTCTGCTCCATAAACCAGGGCGTAAGGGGTTTCCCAAGTAGCCTCCCTCGGGGTCGTCCGATAAGTCCACAATACGTATGGCAACTCATCGGCCCAACTACGACCGGCCGAGTGTAGCTTCTTTTTTAGACCTTCCAAAATCGTCCGGTTGGCATTCTCTACTTGTCCATTTCCCTGCGGGTAAGCCACCGACGACCGGACACGCCAAAGCGGGAAATCACATTGCGCCAAAGGAACCGAGCACATTGCTGAGAAGTGATCGTGGCTAACGGCTCGGCTTCTATCCACTTGGAGAAGTAATCAATGGCGACAATCATGAACTTTCTCCGACCGGAGAGTTGAGGGAAGGGACCCAAAATGTCTACCCCCCACCTAGCAAAGGGAATTGCAGTCGTGACGGGCTGATAGAAGGTTGCCGGTCGTCCAGGCATCCGAGCAAACAGTTGGTACGTCTCACATTCCCGAGCTAACTTTTCACAGTCTAGCTGGAGGGACGGCCAATAGTACCCAATTAGCATGATACGACGGGCTAATGATCGGCCTCCTTGGTGGGAAGAACATATACCCGAATGCAATTCCTTCATGACTAAATCGGCCTCAAATACGGTCAAGCAATGCATAAGAGGGCCTCCATACGATCGCCTGTAAAGACGACCGTCCAAGACTTGGAACCTCGGGGCTCTATGCTTGGCCTTCCGAGCACGCTGGGGGTCGTCTGGGAGCCGACCGTGCTCGAGGAACTCCTTCAGATCGGTGATCCAATTGTCCTCTACCGGTTGGATTGGATTGACCGGCAGGCGATGGATGCTGTGTCTCGGAACCACCAGAATCTGGACTATCTTTGACATGTGCTCCGGGGCATCTTGAGCCAATTTGGACAAGATGTCCGCATCGGCATTATCCAATCGGGGTATGTGCCGGACGGTAAACCCCCGGAACTGAGCAAGCTTCTCCATGGCCAGGTCTCGGTATAGTTGTAGACGCTATCCATTGACTTCATAATCTCCGAGAACTTGCCCGACCACGAGCGCGGAGTCTGTTTGAGCTCGAATGTATTCAGCTCCCAAGTCCGGAGCACACTGCAAGCCATTAATGAAGGCTTCGTACTCGGCTTCATTGTTGGTCGGATGAAACTGATACATAAGGGCGAAATAGACTTTGAATCCCCCAGGCTCGTGACCACCACTCCTCCTCCAGCTCCTTTCTTGCTACTTGACCCATCAGTAGCCAACGACCACCACTCAGCCTCGGGATCCGCAACCTCGGGAGGTCGAGTATCCCGGGCGGTGCACTCGACCAAGAAATCAGCAAGGGCTTGGCCTTTGATGGCTGGTCTCGGTCGGTATTCGATCGCGTACTGGGTCAACATTAAAGCCCACTTGACTAGGCGACCGGATGATGAAGCAGTTCGGAGGACTGGCCCGATCGGCTGATCGGTCAAAACGCGAATTGCTCGACCCTGGAAGTAGGGAGCCAGCTTCTTCGCTGCAATGTACAAGGCATAAACGACCATCTCAACCCGGGAGTACCGGGGCTCGGGACCATGTAGCGCGTGGCTTACATAGTACACCGGTCGCTGGACCCCTTCTGGATCGGTTCGGCACAATACTGCGCTTACTGCACGATCGGAGACGGCGAGGTACACGGCTAGCTCTTCTCCGAGCTCGGGCTTTGAGAACACGATTGGTGACATGAGATACTCTTTTAGCTCATCAAAAGCCGCTCGGCATTCTTCGTCCCAGACGAACCCATTGACTTTACGCAATACCTTGAAGAAAGGTAAAGCGCGCTCGGCTAACTTAGAGAGGAACCGGCTGAGAGCTGCCAGCCGACCGGTCAATTGCTGGACCTCCCGAACGGTAGAGGGTGGTTGCATGTCCAGTATCGCTTTCACTTTGGCCGGGTTGGGCTCGATTCCCCTCTTGGTCATCATGTAGCCGAGGAACTTCCTGGTCTGAACCGCAAATGTGCACTTGGTCGGGTTCAGCCGCAACTGGTACTTCCTCATGATCTGGAAGTACTCCCGGAGGTCCCGGGTGTGGTCGGATCGGTCCCGACTCTTGACCAGCATATCATCAATGTAAGCCTCCATCGTTCGGCCTAGCAAATCAGCGAAGAGCATGTTGACCATCCTCTGGTAGGTCGCTCCCGCGTTACGGAGGCCGAACGGCATTACTCGGTAGCAATACAGCCCGTCCGGGGTCACGAAGGCTGTCTTGCTCTCATCTTCATGGTGCATCATTATTTGATGATATCCTTTGAATGCATCCATGAAGCTCATCAACTCGGCCCCGGCCGTCTCGTCGACCATCTGATGGATACTCGGCAGAGGATACGGGTCGAGCGGACAGGCCTTATTGAGGTCGGTGAAGTCAATGCACATCCTCCAAGCTGGGGGCTTCAGAACAAGGACAATGTTGGCCACCCACTCGGGATAGATCACCGGTCGGATGTGCTCGATCGCTGCCATCTTCTTGACTTCTTCTCTGACAAACTCGCGGCGATCGGAAGAAAGGTGTCGGGTCTTCTGCACAACCGGCTTTGCTGCGGGATCGGCGGCTAGCTTGTGACAAATTACCGATCGATCGATTCCGAGCATGTCTTTGGGCCCCCATGCAAAGATATCGGCATACTCCTGGAGTATGGCCAAGATTTCTGTTCGGAGCTCAGGGGTGAGGGCCCGACCAATTTTGATCTTCCTGTCCGGTCGGTCCTCGGACAGGGGAACTTCCTCTATTTCTTCAGAAGGTCCGGGTTGTTCCTTCCGGTCTTTAGCCTCTTCCTTGGCTATAGTGTTCACCCGGGAAGACTGACTGGAGTCACGTCTAGGGGTGGGCACGGGTCGGGTTCGGGTTCAACCCGTGGGAATAATGGGTACCCGAAAATTTTCGGGCCTCCTCTTTTACAGCCCAAAACCAAACCAAAACCTTTTGGGTATGGTTCGGGTTCGGGTGTTTCGGGTTGGGTTAATACCGGGTCGGGTGTAGAAAACCCGAATTTGTGAAATTACTATAAATATATGTTAATTTTGAAATTCATATTTTTGACAAGAGAGTTCTAGAACCAAAACAAAAATTCTAAACGAAATAAATAAATAAATAAACACAATAGTTACAACAAAACAATAATTACAAAATTACAATATTACATCACAACCCAAAAGGGTAAACAACATTGATAACATTAAATCATTTTACTAAGTTAATTACAATTACCAAAAAACAAAAATTAAATAAAGGTGAGTGAAATAAAATTGGGAGGAAATGCCAAGTGATTTAGTTTGATCCCCCTTTTGAACAAGCAAATTGATCCAATGATCCTTCATTTGTCTTGTAATTAGGACCTACAACAATAAAAGATTGTTTATTGTGAAAGTTCATATATGAATTCCAATAATTAGATCATGATAATTATGATAATTATGATAGGATACTTAATACAAATTAAAGCTTATAACAGTTACATATAAACATAACACTTACACAAAAATAAATGTTGACGGCTAGGAAGGCACACCATTAGGCATAAGCATTAAAGCAATGACTTGAAACATAATAGTGAATTAGTGACAATGTAACACAAAGATCAACGATTACTAATACAACACTTATACCAACTTATATATAAAAACTCAATATTGATAAATATACTGTACAAAAACAATTGTAATCTACTTTTCACTACAAAATTAATTAGAAGTTATAGAACAATTATCTTTAAAATAAACTAAAAGGAAAAACATTAATTCTTACATTAAATAGTCAAATCTCCATAAACTAGTTTTTAAAAGATACAGCCACAGTCTGATAAAGTCTAGTACTCTTTACAAACCTAAAAGTTGTTTATTCTTTTTTTTTTTTTTGAATGCTACTAGCTCTATTACATTGTAGTATCTGTTCATATACTTTCTCAACCTACTGAAACACAAAGAGCTAATAACGACTCCATTGAGGCTTGAACTCACAACCTTCCTAATGGAAGTCCAACCCGGGTACCATTGGACCTTCCTAAAAGTTGTTTATTCAATTAAACTTACAGTACTTGAAGAAATAAACACCAAAATTTGATGAACTCCCTGAATTTTACAAAGAAATAAACACCAAAATTACAATACCACTCAGGAAGCATTTTACATGCATTCATATAGGATTCAGAGTTAACATAATTTCAAAAACTCTCTCTCTCTCCCACATACACACACACACACAAATATACAGTAATACAAATAACTTCATAACAAATTAAACTTCAAATACTTACTACCTTATCTCCTTTGAAATGTAAGTAGGCAAGTAGCTATAGCATATAGGATGAAAGATTCATCCTTTCATAGTTTTAAGTCAATAGCTTAAAGCTTTTGCATTTTGCATAAGGTCCGCAAAGGTAACACAAAGTCATAAAAAAATATTTAAAATAACACACACAAAAAATGTTTAAAATCAAACTGTTTAGCTCCTATATTAGACACACAAACTGTTTAAAATTAAACACATAAATTTTGCACACAAACACACTGTTTAGCTCCTATATAAGAACATATTTAAAAAAAAAAAAAACTAAAGGGGCTAAACTACGGTATTAAATATTCTGGAAAAAAAAAATGTAACAGAGTTTTTATAATTTTGCTCAAATTTTTTATAATAAATATATAACTAAAGAAGTAACAAATTTTCAAAAAAAAATGTTAAAAATAACTTTTCTGAAAATAAAATAAAATAAACTCCACAATATATGAAGATCTAATTTTTAAATACAAAAAAAAAACTATAGAATTATTCAGCAAAAAATCGAAGAATAAAAAAAGGTAATGAAATCAAATGTTACTGTTGTTACCCATTAAATTTTCTAAGCTGGAGGATTTGACGATTTGACGAGCCATTGAGTAGCATACCGGCGGACAACGGTCACAAGTCGAAGCCTTGGAAGAGATCTAGGGTTTCCTGAGTAAAGAGTTGAGAGATAATGAGTGATTGAGAAGAGAGAGGCAACTCAAAGCTCAAGCGAGAAAGTTCGAAATTATGAGTCTCTGAAACTCTAAAAGTGAGAGGTTAGAGGAGACTCACCAGGTTGAGCAACGATTTGACGAAGGTGTAGGAGAGACTCGAGAGACGAGATGACAGAGCCGGAGAAGAAGTCACGGAGAGGTTGGGAAACTGCGAGAAGAGTGAGAGGCAGAGCCGTAGAGAGGCGGAACGGAGGCGGGGTTGAGTGGTTGAGAGATGGAGAGATTTTGTGGGGTGAGAATGGTAGAAAAGCTCTGAGAGAGAGAGTGAAAATTTGAGAGGGGTGAGCGGCGGAAACAATGAATGAGAAAGATCTGATATGAAAGACGGAACCCTAAACATACTTTACATATATATATGTGAGTTCGGGTTTCGGGTCGGATTCGAATTTTAAACTACCAACCCGAAACCCGATCCGTTTAAATTATGTTTGGCCAGCAATTGAACGGGTTCCACCCGTTTTGGTTCGAATCCGACCCGATTCGGGTCAAAACGGGTCGAACCCGTGTTTTTTCGGGTTGTACCCGAATTATGCCCACCCCTAGTCACGTCTATTAACCGCTCGGGTGTAACACTTCCGGGCAGATTGGACGTCGCCACGGACTACTCCGACCCCATTGGGGGTGGGGAATTTCATGCAGAGGTGAGGCATTGAAATTATCCCACCGATCTTCATTATTGCAGGTCGGCCCAAGATAATGTTGTGGACGCAATGGAGGTTGACCACAACGAACTCTAGCTCCGTCTTGATCGATTTCGGAGATGTGCCGATCTCGACCGGGAGCATTATTTTTCCCTCGGGGTAGATAAGAGCCCCGGTAAATTCCGACAGTGGTACACCGACCGGAGTCAGCTCCTTCCTGTCAAGTCCAAGTTTCTCAAATACGTCCAAATAAAGGACATTCACACTGCTGCCCGTGTCCACCATAACCCTCTGGACATCCGTCCCTTTCACATCAATCGTGACCACGAGCGCCTCCATGCCGTGGTTACCGCTGCTAGGTTGATCTTCGAGGGTGAAGGTTATGGGCTCCATCTTCTGCCTCTTCCCGGTGTCCCAGGAATCCACTACAGCGACCGGGCAATTGCCCCTCGACCGGGAAGCATCGTCCAATCCACCAAAAATGACGTGGATGGTCGGCTTTCCTGCTGGTCGGCTGCTAGATGGAGGGTCAGGGTCCCGTCGGTCATCACGACGATCGTCTCTTCGGTCCTGACCTGACCGATCGGAGCGTCCATCACAATCAGAACGGTGGTGAGAACGCCGGTGATCTCTCCGATCGGTACTCCTCTTGGTATCTTCTCTCTTCCCCACACACTTGTCCAACTTCCCAAGGTTGAGCAAATCCTCCAACAGTTGGCGCAAGTGGGTACACTCCTCAGTGTCATGCCCGGCACATCGCATGGAGCCGCCACGTGTCCTTCGTCAGCTCTCTCGCCTAAGGGCTACCGCTCGGTGGTCGACACTGCCGCTCGGGTAACTCCCGGTCGTGTCCCGACCGGGTTCTTCACAAGAAACCCGACCTGTTACCTGCAAAGACAAGAAGAAAAGGACGAAGGCACATGGATCGGGGTAAAGCTATGTCGGTCGGGATATTCCCTACCAGAAGTAAAGTTGGGAGTAAAAAATGAGAGTACATATAGACACTATTTGGCACGCCTAGATGAAAATTGAAAGTTGAAAAGCTAGTAGCTAATAAGGTAATTAATTGAAATTAAAGTGTTTTGGTAAAATTAAGTGTTGAATTAACTGATAGACGTAAAAGACAAAAGGATAACCTAAATATTATGATTTTGATTAATGAAGGGTAGATTGTATCATTTATGTCAATTAATAAATATAAAAAAGGAAAAAAGTTAAAAAAAACAGGAATTTATTTTGAAATGCTACTTGGAGTAGAGTTTCAAAATAAGCTATTATCTTAAGCTTTCAATGTTTTACCAAATAGGACTTATAGCTTATTTGTAAGTTATAAACTCTAAAATAAGCTCTACCAAACAAATCATATATGGGGTGTTTGGTAAATGGCTGTTAGTTGATTGGTTGGGTTAGTGGGTTTAACTAGTTGATAACATTAGTTGATTGTAGAAAAGTCTTTGGTAAATTAGCTGTTAACTGATTACATACAAAATGACTTTCTAAAAAAGCTGACCGAAAATGTTACTTTGAGTAGTTTTTTGAGTTTTAGCATTTTGCAGCAATAAGTTGTTACAAAAAGCTAATTAATCAAACACTCATATTAATTGTTTAACCAAGTTAAAAAAATTAATAGTGATTAAATAAGCCAAAATTGATCAATAAGCTAATTATTTTATCGAACAGGCCATAATATTTTCCTATATATCATAGCATACCTACCTACCTTTTCCCAAGTAAATGTGACATTTAAAACGCCAAAAGGACTCCTTAAGGAACTCACTTCATCACTTGATCAGAGATTCTGGCCTGGTAATGTCGGTGGTAGGGAAGCAATGAGTTAAGTATGGATTTGTACTTTTTTTTTCTTTCTTTTTTTTTTTTTTTTTTTAATGAAAACCAAAGAACTCAATTATTATTACATCCATACATCATTAGCATTTCATTACTCCAATATTCGGGCAATAAATCGTCTAACGACTTAATAAAAAAATCAATCCACTCATAATTTCACAAGCTCAATCTTGATAAAATAATTAGCTCACGATTATAGATTCTTATCTATTATTATATCTAATTTTACATAAGATTATTTACACACTCCACAACTAGAAATGACAATGCGATGGGGTGAGGACGGGGAGTATACTGTCCCCACAGAGAATTAGGCGGGGACAGAGAATCCCAATTAATTATTAGTCAAAATCATAAATTAGTGTAATTTTTAATTTTAAAAATAAAAAACCTAACTATTAATTTAATATATGCGCGCGCGCACACACACACACTTACATATATATATATATATATATATATATATATATATATATATATATATATATATATATATATATATAATATTCATATTTTATTTATTTTTTAATTTTAATAATTATTCGGGGACGGCACGGGGACAGAGAGTGGTATCTCGCCCCGTCCCCGTCTCCGACAGAGAATTACATACATTCCCCGTTCCCGTTTTGTTCTCCAAAAAATTTTCATATCCCCGTCCCCGTTAAGACCGAGATCGAATTCTCTACCGGGGACGGAGAAAATTACCATCCCTATCCACAGCTCTAAAAAATCATACAAATGTTAAATTACATTCACATAAATTATGAATATTACTTTCTTTATAAATTTTCCAACAAAACAAACATCCAGCTGATCGGGCGGACAACAACCGAGCAACTTAAGGCAAAAAAAAAAAAATGTTTGTCGTGTGGCTCCAATAATTATCAAATTTCTTACCTAGCAACTTGCCAGTTCTAACTTGTACGTAACTATTAACAATGTTATTTTTATCAGGAAAATTTGAAGTCACTGTTAAATGGTATGAACTAAAAAAACCTTAAAATAGTATTGATAAAAATCGAACCGATAATTTTTATGTATGAAAATCATGTTTTCTAGTATGTAAATTCGTGCGTACTATAGCAATATGGTAGCTTAGGTTGGGGCCCCAATTTAATATAATTAAAGTGATGTGCAATGCCGACTTGCCATCCATCAAAATATCAAGTGGTGTTGTACACTTGTATGTCCTTGTGCGAAGACTTTGGTTTCAACCACGTGAAATTTGTTGCTAAACATAACCTAATGCATGCTAAAAAATATTGTTGCGTACAGCCTGGCTTTCCACATCAACCCTGTGTTGAAAATAAATCGCTAAAATTAACATTTATAGTGATCATTTTGTAATATAATTTTCATTGAGGTTCACTTTCAATTCTGATCGGGCTAAAGTATATTTAGGTTCGTCTAAGTGAGATATTTAATTTGATATATTATATGTTTAAAATGGATAATGGACAAATAAGAAATTGATTCTCATAGTGTTTAGGAAAAATGGAATTTGGAAGACGTAGAATTGAAGTAGCATTTGTTCCACATTGAAAAATAGATATGTGTTTGCACGAGTATATATAAAATTTTACTTTTTGAAGAGCTTGAGTTGTAAGGTATAGATGTTCTGATCTCTCTCATGTAGTGGATGCAATTGCGCAAATCAAATCCCAAAATGAGTATGGAAAGACTTCACTAGTGTGCACCCTGATAGCAATATACATCATTTTATCTGATGTAGTAAATGCTTCCACTCTGATCTCACAAATATGTACAAGTTGTGTGGTCAGACCGAGTTCGGGTCCTTTTATGCTAAAGTAATAGCGTAAGGCCAGAGGTTCTCGAGTATAATGTCGCTATCTAGGAATTGTCCCCCAGTCCACTTCACAAGCCCTTTGCGGAGTAAACCGAGCATTAAAGGATTAACCAAGCTTAGCATGGGGTGTATGAGTGTACTTCACCTGCGTTAATTGTGGTGAGACCGATCACATTGGAAGAAACCAGGCGATCCGGGTTGCAATATCAAAGTCGAAGCTTGCCGAAGGGAACGGAGGTCGAAACAAGCTTGCTCGGAATTCTGCTCTGCATCATAGCTGGGTTGAGGATACATGATTGGTGCTGGTTGGTTTAAGGGTTTATGCTTGGGTAATGGCGTAAGGCTAGAGGTTCCCGAGCATGATGTCGCTATCTAGGAATTGACCTCACTCCACTTCACAAGCCCTTGTGGAGTATTTATAGGCGCGAGTCGGGTGGTCGGCATGTACGTCACGTGTTCTCCATGCACTTGGCGGTCTCGACGGCGAAGGAAAAGCGTACAAGTGTAGGAGTATAACAGAGTAGCCAATGATTAATACGCTCGGCTTAAGTATACGCGCTGAGATTTATCTCTAAGGGTCAAGTATAGGGGGTCGGTCTCAAGTGCTATTTTAAGGTAGGGACCGAGCTCAAGAAGGTAAAGGCAGAGGCTTACCAAGACGTAGATACGCCCTCACATCAGGTCAGGTCGGTTCGATTGAGCATTCAGGTCAGTCCAGATCGGGAAGTGACTCACACCTTGTAGTGACTCATATCCGATCAGGTCCTCGGTGCAAAGGGGTAAATAATCCGGGGTATACCTTATCATTATCCCCAGAGACTGAGGTTACAATGCTTCTAATACTTATCAGGAAGTAACAAATTAATTTTAATTTTAAAGAAAGTGTATGTTGTGACTTGGATTTTCCTTTATTCTTTACATACCCCATACCATTGTTGTTGTTCACAAGACTATTCTTAAATTTAAATCCCAATTTTTATTTTTTATTTTTTATTTTTGGACTTTCAGTTTACAAATATTCATTATATAATAATCATTACATGATAGGTTGTTATTCTGTTAAAGATTTAATTATCCCCATACCATCCATTGGCCTGTTGAGTAAAATAGTTAGCCTATAGTCTGTAGGTCAATTTTGACTTATTTAACCATTATTAGTTGTTTGACTTGGTTTAAAAATCAATATAAGCGTTTGATTAATTAACTTTTTGTACTCTACGAGTCTGTTTGGTAGAGCTTATGGCTCTGTTTGGCAGAGCTTATTTAGGAGCTTATAGCTTATTTTAAGCTACTAATAAGCTATAAGCTCTGTTTGGTAATGTTCCCAAAATAAGCTCCTAGCTTAAAATAAGAGCTTATTTTGGAACGCTACCTTAGGTAGCGTTTCAAAATAAGCTCCTAGCTTCCTAACTTTTTTTCATCTTTATCCTTATTATTTTAAAGAAATGACATAATTTACCCTTCCCAATTAAAATCCTTTTCCTTTCTCCTTTATCCACAACTTTCACCGCAATTATTATTATTATTATTATTATTATTATTATTATTATTATTATTATTATTATTATTATTATTATTATTATTATTATTATTATTATTATTATTATTATTATTATTATTATTATTATTATTATTATTATTATTATTATTATTATTGCAACATTATTGCTACTTCATTGTAAGATGCTAGGTCATGATTATGCTAACAGTTTTATTTGAAAATGTTAATTTTTTTTAAAAGACAAAATGTTAAATTTTAATATATAACAAATTAATTCAAATTTTATGAAGATGTCCTTTTTAGTCTTTTTACATTTATCAGCTTATCAAAAAGTTAATTTTAGCAAACACTTTCAATCATAACAGCTAGCTTAACAGCTCTTCAGTTTTCAGCTCTGAACTTATAGCTTTTCAGCTCCTAGCTTATAGTTTTTCAGCTAGGTTTGCCAAACAGAGTCTATTTAGAAGCTTATAGCTTATTTTAAGCTACTAATAAGCTCTGTTTGGTAATGTTCCCAAAATAAACTCGTAGCTTAAAATAAAAGTTTATTTTGGAACGCTACCTTAGATAGCATTTCAAAATAAGCTAGTAGCTTCTGAACTTTATTTCCTTCTTTGTCCTTATATATTATTTTAAAGAAATGATATCATTTACCCTTCCCAATTAAAATTCTTTTATCTTCTTTCTTCTCCGCAACTTTCACCGCAATTATTATTATTATTATTATTATTATTATTATTATTATTATTATTATTATTATTATTATTATTATTATTATTATTATTATTATCATTATTATTATTATTATGATTATGATTATTATTATTATTATTATTATTATTATTATTATTATTATTATTATTATTATTATTATTATTATTATATGGAGGAAATTCGCAACAACATTGCTACTTCATTATGGGAGCTATTAGATCATGATTATGCTAATAATTTTATTCAAAATGTTAATTTTTTTAAAAGACAAAATGTTAAATTTTAATATGTAAGCAAACTAATTTAAATTTAATGAAGACGTTTATTTTTGTCTTTTTATATTTATCAACTTATCAAAAAACTAATTGTACCAAACACTTTCAAGCATAACAGCTAGCTTAATAACTCTTCAGTTTTCAGCTCATAGCTTATAGCTTTTCAGCTTTCAGCCCATTTTAAGCTTTCAACTACCTTTTCAGCTAGGTTTGCCAAACATAGCTCAAAATGCTAAAATTCAAAAAGCTACTCAAAGCAACTTTTTCAATTAGCTTTTTGAGAAAAGAAATTATACTAAACAACTATCAACTAACTGCTAATTTACCAAACACCTTTCTACAATCAGTTAGGGGGCGTTTGGTTGGGGTTATATTAGATAATCAGGGTTATATTAGGTTAGTTATATAACATGCCTTTGTTTGGTTGAGGTTATACCACATTCCCTTGGAATCTAACATCACCTCCACGTCAGATTTTTTTTCTTTTTATGAGGGAATGTGATTCCCTTGTAAATCTTAGGTTATCTTGGATTCCCTTGGCCATTTTACATTGTTTGCCCTCAACATCATCGCACCCTCCACGCTCCACTCTGTCTCAGCGACTTTGTCTTCATCTTTCTTCTACGAGATTTCAGTCTACGAACCAGAGTAATCACCTTTCATTTTCATTTCTAGATCCATCAACAAATCAATTTTCAGTTTTTAATTCTAGATTCCCTTGCAGAAAGCCAGAAACGCAGACAACTCGCACTCTTCATATTCTCCAAGTCTCAATTTAGGGTTCCGATTTTCTCAATCTCACAGGTAATACTCACATCTCTTTCATCTTTTGTTTCTTATTTCTTCATAAATTTGCCTGAGGGAGAGGCTTTCTTCAATTTTCAATTTCTTCATTTGATTTCTATTGGAATCTTGTATTTATCTTTGTGTTTAGTTATCATCTTTTTCATTCGTCTTCTTGCACTGTTCGTGTTTTTTTTTTTTTTTTTTTGGTTTATCTTTCATTGGTTGAGTCGGCCTATCTAATTGTGATTGAGTCCAGGACGACCATTTTTATCTGGCTTGGTTGAGTCTAGCATGGCCAAACAATTGTTTTGCAGGTTTCTCTATAGTTGTAGGTAAATTTTCTCCGACGAGGTTTTTTGTTTGTTCTACGGCAGAATAAGAAGTAGCACATGGGAGAAAGAAGGACACATTTTTAGGAATCTAAATGAAAATTCAATTACTGCCCTACATCACTTAATAAGTATAGAAAAATAAGTATAGAAAATAGGAGGAGAAAAGCTATAGAAGAACTAGTATGCATAGTTATGTAGGGATACAATTGTATCAAAATGTGATGGTCAAAATCAATATTCAAGATACAATGCTATATAATTCTATATAGTAATACACTCCTGCTTGTTGCCATTTATATGTTCAATTTCTATATGAAAGCATGCTGACATAAATATATATATATATATATATATATATATATATATATATATATATATATATAAAGCAGTGAAGTTATTCCCAGAAATTGAACTTTTTTTCCTAGGTTAAAAACAATGTTCTTACTTTTCCCATTGAATTCTCTATTTTGTGCTCTTACGCATCAAATTATTTCTCCAACTTTGTGCCTAAAGTTTCTAGTGATTTTACTATTAAATTTGTGATTTACTTGGGGGTTAATATATAAAAAAATTGAGGGTGATTTACTAGAAATATTTTAATGGTTTTTAAGTTGTCTGCTTGCTGCCATTTATATGTTTAAATTCTGTATTGATATTAGTTGAAGTTATTATTTGTATTTGATTTTCTTCCAACTATATGTTGCACGGTAATGAACCTACAATAATGAAATTATTTGATTTTTTTAATGAAATTATTTACAACAACTAAATATTAGTTTAATTTGTTATACATTTCATTCTTATAGGGTGGGTGATATGGCTCGGTTGCCATTAAGGCAAAAGATGAGATTGCAAGCTGTTGTCCTTATTTTGCGCATAAGGATCATGGAAAGCATGTTTAATATGCTTATGTTTCTTGCTATGATCAGTTTTGGTTTTGCTTAAATTGTAGATTTTTTTCTTTGATTTGATGTACTTGTTGCATGAAGCTTAGCTGTGTTTTTTAATTTTATTTCATATTCTCTTTTCAAAAATTTTAATGCAGTATTTGTGACTTGTGAGAAATGCAAACATTTTTGTCCATTATTTCATCATCAATGCAGTTTGAATAAGTTGTTTCTACTCTAGTATCATCAAATCAGTTTGGCACATTTTCTTGTTTGTAAGGTAATTTGCAATAGGAGGGTATTATGGTAAAATAACCATTATAACCTAATCAATAATTCATCAACCAAACAGGTTTATATTACATAACCCTGTTTTTACCAAACACAGTAATCTAACATTCCCAGTAATCTAACATTCCCAGCAATCTAACATTCCCTAAGGTAATCTGACATTCCGTGAACCAAACGACCCCTTAATGTTATCAACTAGTTATATCATTTAATTAACCCAATCAGCTAACAGCTAACATCTATCAGCTATCAGTTAACAACCATTTTTTAAACCGGGCATATCCGGCTGTGTTTAGTGCTGAATGAATAAGGATGGGCAGGGAGAGAATAACAAAAGAGAGGAGCACGCGATCAATTAGAGATCATTGTGCAATTTGACGGTAAATTATATCGTGCACCGCGTTGCATAATCGATTATGCACCACGCATTAAAACGAAGTCGTTTTGTTAAATGAAAAGAAACGACATTTGTTTTCCGCCATTCCGCACCTTTCCGCAAAAAGTAACTCTGTTATTCAGTTTCATTTTGTATACACTGCAGTTTCAGTTCAACACAACTACAATTTCATTTCGATATAACTATAGTTTCATTTGATATTTATAGACTCAAATATGTGAAAATATTATTTAATTTTATTTTATATACACTATAGTTTTATTAAAACACAACTACATGATCATTTTGATATAATTACATATTCATTGTACAAAATTCATTCAAATATGCGAAATGTTATTCAGTTTCATTTTATATACACTGCAGTTTCATTTCACCACAACTACAGTATCATTTTGATATAACTCCAGTTTATTTGATAATATAAAAATAATACGTGAGGCAGTGTCGGTTTAGATGTACTGTAGTTTCAGTTGGTGTTTAATACACACTACTGGAAATTATTGAATTTCCGACCACCTGAAAGTGATCTTAAATTAAGTTGAAAGCAAAAAGTGGTCGGAAATAGCAACAAGGGTTTTTCCGGATACCAAAAGTGGTCGGAACAAAGCTTTCGACTTGATTTAAGATCACTTTCAGGTGGTCAGAGATTTCAGAATTTCCAGTAATGACACCAAATATACGGACTCCGTTAACGGTAACGGCGTGCCGTTTCTTTACTTAAAGAAACGGCGCCGTTTTTTACCGCGATGCATGTGCACCGCGGTCTACGATATAATACTGCAATTTGACCTATTCACATGAGTACACACTCAATACAAACAAAAACTTGATTGAGCCTGTACAATCGTAGTATGGATGTTTTACTCAACATGGTGGGTGTTTTGTGGACACCAAACAGTAACCCTTTTACCTAACATGTCACTTAGTCACCGTATTTTACCTATACATTATTATATTGAATTTTGGTGTAGGTCTTTAGGTGCAAGGTAATTTTATCTTTTGTGAGCAATAAAAATAAAGAATTCATCTTTCTTAGTTCTTGTCGCATTAAATAGTGAATATTATACTGATATAATATAATATAATGATTTAATTAACATTTTACTTTGCATTGCCACTAACATCTACCGGGTTGAGGCAATGTGACATGATCTAGCATGGTGTATAAATGGACCATGCCTTAGAATATAATTGATAAGTAACCTATTGATAAGATATAAAAATGTAAAAATAGCTTCCAAACAAAATCTAACAACTCAACAATCTACGAGAAGATAAGAAGTTCATGTGTTTCAGTGTTTGTGCGGCTGAAATCTGTTATATATGTTTCTGATGTGTTTTAGATGTTATATTATAATATATGCTTATTATAATTAATCAACAAATTTCTTTGTTTTTATTTAATTATTAAAAGTAAAATAATGAAAATGAATTATTATTTTTTAAATCTCTTAAATTGACGTTATAGTGCTGCCAAATAAAATAGAATTAACAGTTTAATTTATTATTATTATTTTTTTTTACGTAAAAGTTAGAGATTTTATTTAATTGTTTTTAAGTGATGAAAGAAATTTACCATCACTATTTGAGGGAGTGCACGAGATAAACCCCGTCTTCAATAATTATTTGATTGTTATACTTGCATTGCACTCCATGTAATGATATGATCATCAATCCATGACGTTTCATATTCAATCAAATTCTTGCCTATGGATATTTAAAAAATGAGCAAGGCTACAAATCTCTATTGTATTTTCCCTACAAATTGTGATGTCATCATGTAATTGATAATTAAATTTTTTTATTATTTAGTTAGTTGTGAGTTAGCCATTTCATTGGCACCGAATTAATGAAAGCCACATTTGTAATAATATATAAATCACGTAGACACATAATACATGATATAGAAAATTGTAACGGATGTAGGTTGTGTAGTCACGGGACTGTGTCCTAATATTACTTGAAGTTTTCTATCACTTCTGTTCAACCCTCCCTAAATGGTGTATGAGAAATTCATATGAGTAGTGAGAGGATTAGGGATCTTTAAATAACCAAATGTCATCAATATGGTAGTTGTATGCTATTCCTAAACTTTGATCTTACTCTAATTAAAGTCTTATCTTAATTAACATCTTAACGCTTGGATGAAGTGTGGCACCAAATGACAAATACCTTAATTATTATAACTTGTAACCTAATGTTCTAACAATAATAATTAGGAAAATGTTATAGGAAGGGAGAGTTTGGAGGTAAAAATCAAGAGAAATGAGCATTTTCTTTTTAAAAAAAATAATAATTTTTTTTTTCATTATTTTACCTAATAATTAAATAAAAATAAAAATAATTTAGCTTCACAAACATATTATTTTACCTATAATATTATAAGCATATTATAATATAACATCTAAACACATGCATCATCAGCAACGGATTTCAGTTGCACAAACACTGAAACACATGAACTCTTATCTTATCGTGGAGTCGTTATATTCAATTTATTTTACTTTTATTTTTCTGACCCGAAAAAATTGAAAATTTTTTCATCTAGGAATCGGTTCCTCCAGAGTGTATTTCTCATCTTATCCATTAATTTATTTGCATTTCTTTTAAAAAATAAAAAGACTTAAGTTACCAAAAACAAGGACTACCGAAATGTAGTACTACACTACCAAAAAAGACTTATTACTCATAATTTACATTACTGATAAAATTACATAACATTAACCAATACTCAAATGGATTAATTGCAATTATTAGAATCACTTATTGTTGGACGATGGCTTGAAAAGTCGAGTTTAATACCCTACTACCACAACATAGTCTTTAACTATTATTCAAGTATTAAAAAAAACCATAAGAGAAGTTTTTTTTTGAATGCCACTGACTCTATTACATTGTAGTATCTGTTCAAACATACTTTCTCAACCTAATGAAGCAGAAAGATTTCTCAACCTAATGAAGCAGAAAGAGTTAACAACGCCTCCACTGAGGCTCGATCTCATAGAAAATGTCACTACATGACATCTAAGCACAAGATGCTTGCACATAAGAGAAGTTAATTCATGAACTTTTGATAAAAAAAATAATACTTGATCACCCTTTTGAACCAAATAATTATTAATTAAAACTGATATATAGGAGATGAGTCGTGATCCAAATATCAAATCGCCTGATATGTACACATACCTGTGCCAACAGTGATGTTTAACTTTAACTCGTGTGAAATTCAGTGCTATACATCATATATATATATATATATATATATATATATATATATATAAAATTCATGGCAAATTAAAGGAGATTATTTTTTGGTATATCCAGAATTTCTACTCTTGAACACAGTGACTAATCTCCTTGCTGAATTGTAAGCACATCTTTTGAGTGGGACAGCTGAAAAAAGAGATTAATTGACTCATTGACATTTCAACTATATGAGAACAAAAGACTGTAAAGTGTAATCCATGTGGACTGTGCTATCCTTTCTGTCAGAGTTCTACTATATGTACTCTCGAATCTTACTCTCTCAATTTTACTCCTTGATGTGACGGGCTTTGATAAATTATATTTTTAATGTGGGTCCCAATTTGATAATTATATTTTTAATGTGGGTCCCAACACAAGTGTCTATATCAAAATTTTATGTGTGAGTAAAAAATGAGAGTATTATTTTCCTTTATGCAATCTCCCTCTATATATACATCTTGGCTTCTTTCTTTTCAATTACATCTTTCATTCCCCTCTTTGGTTCATTCTTATAAGCTTTATTTTCAGCTACATATACCTCCATTACATTAATGGCTTCTGGGGTTAAGGTGTGGTTTGCCATTGCCACTCTACTGCTAATGTTCTTGAGCTTAAAGCCTCTGGTAGCAGAGCCCCAAGTCCCTTGTTACTTCATCTTTGGTGACTCTTTAGTTGACAATGGCAACAACAATAACCTTTCCACTGAAGCAAAGGCAAACTATCTTCCTTATGGAATTGATTTTCCTGATGGCCCTACTGGTAGATTCAGCAATGGCAAGAATTTGGCAGACTACTTAGGTCATCATCTATCCCTTCCCCTTTTACGTTTGAATCCCAAACCTAAAGACCTCTCACGTCTCCTGCCTTGAGACGAAGAAGTAAACCGCGGGATGTGTTTCGGTGGTGGAGTGTTCTGAGTTATTGCACTGATCTCGGGATTCGACCCGAGGTGCTTACTGGATATTATCCTAAACTCAGTCTTTCATCCACTAAACTATATATGTCCCCGGAGCTTCTCTTCCCTTTCTTCAACTACATGTAGTGCAAGTGGCGGGCAACTGTCTGTCACTTTAGTACACCCAACAAATACAATTGTCGTTGCTGGAAATTATGGAATTTCCGATCACTTGAAAGTGATCTTAAATCAAGTTAAAAGCTTTGTTCCGACCACTTTTGGTATCCGAAAAAACCTTTGTTGCTATTTCCGACCACTTTT